AGCAGAATAATGGCTACATCACTGGACTCCCACATAGTTGACCATGGTTCGAGTCCCAGACCTGGTGGCTTAAACTCACATCAGGCGCAAGTGCGTGCGTGCCCAAGATTCCAAGAGGAGAATGGAGGAGAAGGGATTGCAGTGTGGCCATCCCCCCTGGGGGGTGATTTCTTGCTTTCTGTCTCTCTGTTGAGCACATGCAAAAACCTCTCCAAATAAAAAGTTCTTAAAGATTTCAACTTGACCAGATATGAAACAATTTAAAAACCTTTAAAGGTGTATTGAGAAAAACCAGGCTTGTCATTACCCAAAAGAGATATCTTTAGGTAAAAAAAAAAAAAAAAAAAAAAAAAAAAACGGTCTCGAAAAAAACAAACAAACAAAAAAAAAACCGTGCTGCATAGATAATGCAGGTAGTTCTAGTTATCTGGTCATGGACAAAAAGCAAGCATTTAAGGTCTTCAGCTCTTATCTTTTGTTCATTTCTTATTGCTGAAATTTCATATTTACTTCTTGTTAGATGACTAACCCGGATGATGGAGATGGTAAGCTGGCATTTACGTAGCCCGCCCGGCTCAGCCTCGGGAGCGAGGGGATTCTCAGCTGGTGGATCAGCTGCTTTTGTCTCTGCCATCTTGCAGTTTAGGGTTCTCTGGGTACCTGCGCCGATAATTGAAGTTGTGTCGACAGTGTTGAGGTAGCTGCTGACCTTGGGTTTCATCTCCTTGATTTTCCTTACACTCTTTTTTTTTTTAACTTGATTGATTGATTTAATTTGCCCAGAGAGAGAGAGAGAGTGAGAAAGCAAGCTGCCCGGACCCGAACCGCAGTCGGCCATATGGGAGTCCAGCACCCTTAACAACCATGCCACCTCCTGGCCCCAGATTTTCCTTATCCTCTTCATTGCCGTCCTCTCTGGGCTGCTGTCTTTGGTGAGGAGGACCCCTGCGAAATCGTGGTCTCTAACTGCGCACATACTCTGCCTCCCTGGTCTACCTTGTTCTCCTGTACCCTGATTGGCAGCACCCTCCATGACTACTCCCTGCACAGGAGGGTCGGAATACTGTTGTGGGCGTCCATAGTGTCTCCGCATGTACTAAGGGAGGAACCTTCACTTGCAGTGAGGCCGCCGTTGTTGAGCCTGGCCTTCGGGAACACTCTCCGATCCCTTGTTCTTTTCTCCACTCACTGTTCTGGTAATTTTGCTGGTAATTGCGTGAAGGACTCCTACAACGTGGATAGCGTCTATAATAGTTACGGTCTGCTGCATATTCACTGCCTTGAACTGGAACTCCACCCAGGCCTGTAATACCTGCTGCCTCCACACCCTTTTTCCTCCAACAGCATCAGACCCCAGTCTCTCCATCTCCTACCCTGCAAAGGTACTTCCTGGGGTTGTTATTCTTTATGGCAGTCTGGTGTACAAGTACATCTCCCTTGGTGTCATTCCTGTTCATGAAACCATATTCATTTCTTACACCAAACCATTTTAGTGTTCCCAAAACCTTCGTTGTGATGACCTTCTTGTCCCCACTGGCAAGTGCTGCAATGTCAGACCGACCGGGACGCCACTCCCTGCGCAGCTGCCCATGGTACTGGGCCTGGTGTCTGCAGCACTGAGGGCAGGGGTGGCAAGCGGCTGCTGGGTCTCAGCCTCGCTGCTCACGGTTACAGTGGTGGTGACTGGGACCGGCGGCGGTGGTGGGACTGCTCAGGGCTCTCCGGGGTCCACTCTGCGTTCCTGCTGCCCTGCTGCTGATGGAACTCAACCCACATGTCTTTCAGTGGGTGAATGATTACGCAAACTACTTAGATACCCCTACTGCATCTGGGTGGATGGTTAGAATAGCCACAGTGTTACATTCTATAACAAAATTACATAGTATGTAACATCCTTTAGGTGGCAAAATTACAGGCCCGGAAAGGAGAATATCTGAAAGAACATGAGGGATCCTGTAGGGTTGAAAATGGTTTCTTTCTTAACTGGATAGATGTTATATCTTGGTTATGGATTTTGTACTGTCTTGTAAGATGTTACCACTGGAAGGACCTGGTAAGAGCTCCTGGGAAGTCTCTATTCTTAGAACTGCATGGGCCTGTAGTTATGTCAAAAAGTTTATTTTTTAAGATAGAGATAATGGTACTACCTACTTCACAGGATGGTTATGAGGTTAAATATGTTGGTTGAACTCCAGCAGGGAGTTCTAGTCACTTCAAAGCCAGAATTGGGCTTTGGTAGTGAGGATTTGTCTTTTGTTTGTCAAAGCCCACTAGGAATATGGCTTCAAATTAGATACTTATTTCGCACTGTTGTAACATAAACATGGTAACTTCTGATGACCTTTCAAAACCACAATTAATTGCCTTTATTTTCTAGCTGATTGCTGAGGAAGGGGTGGACAGCCTGAACGTCAAAGAATTGCAGGCTGCTTGTCGGGCACGAGGCATGCGGGCCCTCGGTGTCACAGAAGACCGCCTTAGAGGCCAGCTGAAGCAGGTACATGGTCTGAGGGGCTGACTAGGGCAGGTTTGTACCTTCCCTTTCTGTAAGAAATAGCTTGCCTTCCATCAAGACCAGTACAGGCCATCTGTGGGAAACTTCAGAATGGAAAAGTCACTGAAGACTCACTGGAGCCTTTTCTCAAACTGGGTGGGCCAGAGGAGGTGACAGTATGACCTCTCTGGAGATGCTTGGGGTGTTAGGACTTTTTCTGAAACTCCTGATCCTGTCACTTATTCCCATGCACCCATGTTCTAACCTTCTGAGTATTGCTTTGATTTTTCTCATCTGACTTTGGTTGATTTCAAGACTTTGATCACATTGTCTTCTTGACTATCTGTAGTCAGATGAGCGTAGGTTACATCCTTGGAAATATGTGGGGCATTATTTCCTTTTGACTACGTGTCTTAATTGAGGCCAGGGAAGGTTTGGGTGGCTCGTCAGGCTGATCTCCAGAGCCACCCATCCTCTTGGCTGCCTTTGTCCTTGGTACCCTCTGAGAAGGTGCCTGGTACATAGGAGCCTCCGCCGGCTGGGGTTCGCACATCCGCTGTCTCCCTCAGCAGTTCGGGAGCCCTCGAGTAGAAACCAAACACCGGGTCTGTAAAGCGCTGGTGCGTCCGATTAAGCAGGCTGTATGTTGGCCAGTGATGTGCACAGCTGTTCACCTCTTACACCGCAGAACTGAAGAGGGCAGGGAGCGAACCTGATCTTCCTCCCACCGGTGGTTCTTTCCTTGGCAACCATTGGCCTGAATAGTTTCCTGTGTGCCCTCTTGAATATAGACAAAGATATACTCACTTCCCCTCTGTGTTATGCAGTACAGATTTACTCCATAGTAGTACCCCGGTGGCGCCTAGTCCACCCTGTGTCTGCTCAGGTGCACTGACCGTCTTGGGTACCCTTCCCATCTTTGCAAGCACGCGGACCCAGACGTCTGCACAGACCTCTGCCCAGACCCTTGACACTGCCCACATTGGAGGTCTTAGGTTAAGTGTTCACGCATCTTTCTCTGTTTCATCCCTGCTTACTGTTTTTTACCTGTTCATAGGGTTTTTTGCTCATTTGCCCTGTTTTCAGTTTGTGTCTAAACATTGTTATAGTTTTCTTTGAAGATTGTCTTCAAAGCAGCCTGACACAGTACCTGGCCTACAGTTGGCCTGCAAATGCTTGCATGTGGAAGGACCTCAGTAATATCACCTCTATCATTCCCTGGCCTCAAGTTTACCTGGGCCGTCTTAAGTAGGAAGCTGACTCACTGTTCTTAAGGCCCCAGTAGAACTTCAGGGCAGTAATGGTTCCCTGGGCATCTCTAGTGTTTAGTTTACTGAGGTGGTCATCTAATCATAAAATCACAAACAAACTAGAAAACTAGAAATACCACTTTCTTTGGAGAGTTCATTCTAGTGATGTAATGAATCATCTGCTCAGTTCCTGCTTCGATGCTGGCCTCCAATCCCTTCTACTTCCCCTGCCAACCCGAAACTGGAGAACGTTCAGACTAAGAGCCCTGGGCCACCTTGTAGGAGACTCAAGCTCCCAGGGTTGGGGTGGGATGGGAGCTGCATGCTGGTGATTCTGGGGCCTTGGGTTCCAACAGTGGCTGGACCTGCACCTGCATCATGAGATCCCCACGTCGCTGCTTATACTGTCCCGGGCCATGTACCTTCCAGACACCCTCTCGCCTGCCGACCAGCTCAAATCCACCTTGCAGACTCTTCCAGAGATCGTGGTATGTGTCCTTGGAGAGCCCCTTCACTTTGTATGTGGCCTTTCTCTTCTGGGTGAGAGGAGGGGCATAGGAACACTTTCCTTCTCAGCTGTGGGGAGTTCCCCAAGAGCCCTCAGATCTGCCTACATCCCTTGCTTGTCTCTACCCAACTCACTCATCTGTCCCCCCACCCGGTTCCTCATGTGTCCATCTTCACCTGTCTGTTCTTCCCTTACCTGCCTCCCACTCCTGCCCCATACTCCCCTCTCCTGCCCCATAATGCTCCCCTTCTCCTGTCCTCCATCTCCCCTCTTACTCGTCCATCCCCCTACATTCACCTCTGCTTACAGATCAGTCACTGGGAGCACACCTTGGATCTGAAACACACATAAGATTTTTGCCAGTAGTGGGCCAGCCAGTAGTGTGGTTAAGGCAGCTGGACCCCACATGGCTAAGTCAGTGGTTCAGGTCCTGGACCCAGTGGCTTGAAAAACACTGAGCACATGTTGGTGCATGCCCAAAAATCCTGAGAAGAGAATGGAAGAGAAGGGATTACAGTGTGACCATCCCCCTGGGAGGGGTGATTTCTTACTTTTTTCCCCCCCTCTCTCTGGCAAGTGCATGTGTCTTGCAGAAAAATTAAAAAAAAATTTTTTTCCCCAAAGCATCCGTGTCTATGGGTTCTCTAAACATCAAGGAATCATTTGATACTTCTAGAAGTATCAAAGACTCCCCGGTACCTTTCAGCATTTGCCATCAGCTTGAGGAGGGCAGCATCACCTTCATGTGAAATCCAGGTGGTGACAATGCTCAGAGATAGGAGGCAGGAGTCGGGGTCAGGGACAGCATGGGCCTCTGGGCTCACTCATAGGTATGCCCTCCTCTCTAAAGGCCAAGGAAGCCCAGGTGAAAGTGGCTGAGGTAGAGGGTGAGCAGGTGGACAACAAGGCAAAGCTGGAGGCCACGCTGCAGGAGGAGGCGGCCATCCAGCAGGAACACCGCGAGAAGGAGCTGCAGAAGCTATCAGAGGCAGCGGTAAGCAGCCAGTGTGGCCTGACCCTGCTTCCTGGGACCTCAGGCTGTCCTGGTCTGGCTTCCCTAGAAATACCCATCCTCGTTTATTTTCTTTTGGAGGGGTCAGGGTGACTCAGTGGAGGCAGGAGTGCCTGACATGGGGGCTGTAACTAAGGTGGGAGTTGTAATTCAGAGGTGGGGGGGCTCCCCAAGGGAAACTTGCAGTGATGCCTTTGGGAGACTTGGCCTGGCTATCTCTCCTTGGTCCAAGCACCACTCAGTGCTCAGAGGTCGGCTAGCAGCTCCCTTGGTGGAGGTTTTCCCTGGAGACTTTACCTGAAGGGGCACTGGTGGCGGAGCCTCAGGCACCCCTGGAGCACAAGCCCTGGGATCCTCCTGGGTCATTTCCTCGCCCATGCCCACTCATGGACTCAGCAAGTGGCAGGGCAGATGGATGAAGCTGTGAGGAATGACCAGAGATAAGATGAGATGCTCCAACTGGCTCTTAGAGAGGTCATTTCTGTGGCTGCTGTGTGAAGAGTCCCACAGGGAGAGCTTGTGGCAGGCAGACTGCTTGCTACTAGAAGACCCTTTGTGGATGTCCACTGACACCCAGCAGGCTTGGTCCCAACTATGGCCTCGCTGCTGAGTGTGGGGCCACTGGAGGCTGCTGGTGTGGCAGCATGATGCTGAGCCCGACGCGGCTTTGCATTTTAGAAGGACATCGAGATAGAAGGGGCAGAAGCTGCCCCTGGGAGGCCAGGGGCCGAGCCGCAAGCAGAAGCTGATGTGATCCTGCCCTCAGAGGCCCTGAAGGACACTGCCCCCGTGCTGGAGGGCTTGAAGGTAAGCAACATGCAGTCCAGGAGGGGGAAGGGACTGGGCTGGGGCTCCTGGAGACTTGGGGCCAAGAAGAGTGTGGTCCAGCTTGGGTGGCGGTGGACATCATAGCCCCCAGTGAGAGGAGGTGGGGGTGACGGGGTGAGAGTGAGGCCAAATGGAGCCCTGGGGCACTTGGTAAGTCTGGCCTAGGGCCAAGCTCACAACACCTGGCAGCGAGGCTGCCATGAACTTGACCTCCCACCTGCTTTGCTCTGTGCAGCAGGCGCTGAGCAGCTCGGGCAGCTTTCTAGGCTCCCTTCAGCCTGCTAAGGCAGTGGTCCCTCACGGTGTAGCTTCCTTGGAAGGGCCCCACCCTTGTGTGTCGCATTCTATGGTGACTTGGGCACCCCCATGCCAGCCGTGAGGTACATCAGATCCTGGACTTGCTGGTGTCTGGGTGGTCTCAGCACTCCGGTTTCAGGGCTTGGGCTGCTCGCTGCTCACATGATGCCTTCTGGAGCCCCCAGGTAGATCTTGTACAGGGGGTCATGTTTTAGGAGTGTGTGGAGTGGAGGAAGTATGTACTGGGTAGATAGAGATGGTTTGGCAGGTGGGTAGGGGAGAGAGACCTGGGAGAGCTCAACTTGGGGATTCTAAAGGAGGCAGGAGGAAGCTGGTGTCCAAAAAAGGATGAGACTGACTGGGCCTCCTGCATTCATGGTCAGAGGGGAGTACTGCCCAGTTGGTGGAGTTCTAGATGCAGGTGGAGGCAAGTGGGTGTGGTCAAGTGCTGCTGGGTGAGGCCTAAGCACTGCTGTAGAACGGATGGTGGCCTTGGCAAGAGCAGTGGCAGAGCAACAGAAGGAAACATCTGACCACAGGACCTTGGAAGGCTGGAGAAGCCAGCCATTCTAGGCCTATGAGACAGAGCAGCCCTGCTGTGCTTGCCAGGAGGGCCCTCAGGAAGAGGAAATAAAGCCCCTGAAACTGGCTTGTGGCCATTGGCGTTTTTGCCAGCAATGGGCTGAGAGCCCCTTGCATTGGGAAGGGTCGGGGAAGTAGGTGGGATGGGAGCTGATCAGAGCCTTTTGGGGACTCCTTTTGGAGGGTTATGTGATTTAGGATAAACCTAATAGGAAGTGGGATTTCAGGACCTGCTTTTCCTAGTGGAGGCCAAGACCTAAGGAAAGCAAATTTTCACTATGCTGATGACTCAAAGATCTATGGGGGGTGGCCTGGGAAATATTGAAGCGGACATGTGTTGTCATCAAGGCTGGAAGGAGTAGCAGTCTCAGGGAACCTGACTGAGCTGGGCTCAAAGGGTAACCCAGGGAAGGGGTGGGGGGCAGGCAGTCCAGCACCAGTTGGGGAACCATGCTGTCAGATGTCAGGGGCTGAGATACAGCCTTCATGTTTAAGGGGTGTAGGGCTGGAGCACTGACCAGCAGAGCAGTTCCAGTCTCTCTGGAACCACCTCTAGTGTGTTTCTAACTCAGCAGGTCAGCAAAAAGGAGGGACCTATCGGTAAATAAGGCAGGACATTTGGCTGATTTCATGGAAACAGATGAATCTCATTTCCAACAGATTAAAGACTTATATGTAAAATGAAATTTAGAACTCTTAGGAGAACCTATGAGGTAAGAGTTGCCAAGAATTTCTATAAGCACAGACTTTAAAGAGTTACAATGGAGTGAGAACTTGGGTTTGTTGAAAAGATACCAATAAGGAAGACTATGGGAACCAGCAGTTAGCATAATGGCTATGTCGCTGGACTCCCACGTAGTTGACTACGGTTCGTGTCCCGGACCCGGTAGCTTAAAACTCACGCCAGGCACGTGTGTGTGCGTGCCCAAGATCCCGAGAGGAGAATGGAGGAGAAGGGATTGCGGCGTGACCATTCCCCCTGGGGGGTGATTTCTCACTTTCTATCTTTAATGTCTCTGTCTGTCTGGCAAGCACACGTGCCCTATAGCGAAAATCTCTCCAAAAAAAAAAAAAGAATAGGGAAGAGTGAGCAGTTCCAGTCTCTCTGGAACCACCTCTAGTGTGTTTCTAACTCAGCAGGTCAGCAAAAAGGAGGGACCTATCGGTAAATAAGGCAGGACATTTGGCTGATTTCATGGAAACAGATGAATCTCATTTCCAACAGATTAAAGACTTATATGTAAAATGAAATTTAGAACTCTTAGGAGAACCTATGAGATAAGAGTTGCCAAGAATTTCTATAAGCACAGACTTTAAAGAGTTACAATGGAGTGAGAACTTGGGTTTGTTGAAAAGATACCAATAAGGAAGACTATGGGAACCAGCAGTTAGCATAATGGCTATGTCGCTGGACTCCCACGTAGTTGACTACGGTTCGTGTCCCGGACCCGGTAGCTTAAAACTCACGCCAGGCACGTGTGTGTGCGTGCCCAAGATCCCGAGAGGAGAATGGAGGAGAAGGGATTGCGGCGTGACCATTCCCCCTGGGGGGTGATTTCTCACTTTCTATCTTTAATGTCTCTGTCTGTCTGGCAAGCACACGTGCCCTATAGCGAAAATCTCTCCAAAAAAAAAAAAGAATAGGGAAGAGTAGCATCCTTATACCCTGGCCAGTGCAGACCTAGCGTTTTCCAGTGTTAATTGTCATTGCTCACGAGAGGTACGTGACCTGAATAGCTTTTACCCCCACCTCCACCCCTAGCAAGGACACTGACTTTGTCGCTTAAAGTCTTTCTACGAAGAAATCCCAGTTCAAATGATTTCTCGGTTGTAGTCACTGGAGAATCCAGACAACTTCAGTGCTACATGGAATCTTGGCAAAGACACGAAGAGAAGGGAATATTCCTCAAGTCATTCTGTGAGGCGAGCATTACCTGAGACCCAAACCAGAGAGATGTAAGACAATCACAGGCCCAGCCACAGCGGGGCCCAGCCCGCTGCTGCTCATCAGGTTCAGGCCCAGGTTTCATTCCTGTCTCAGGCCAAAAGCTGGGCACAGTGCTGTACACCTGCAGTCCCAGCTGCTTGGGAGACTGAGGCAGAAGGATCACAGCCCAGTGGCTTCAGCGTCACAGAGTATTGTTATGCTGTACTATGGCTGGCCAAAAGCAACTGTTCTATGAAAAGGATCCTGTCCATGTGAGATGTGTCCAGGGAATACAGATTAAACTTTTTAAAAATTTTGAGAGTCAATGTAATTACTATATTAAAGACTAAAGGAGAAAAGCCCTGTGACCATCCCAATAGCTGCAGAACTCAGCATCCTCTCCTGATAGACCATATTCAGCACACAAGTAGAAGAGAACTTTCTCCGTCTAATGAAAAGAATCTACAGAATCACCTCCAGCCAGCATGATTCTTCACAGAGGGACATTGACAAGGTGCCCTGTCTCACCACTCAGGTCCACATTGCATTAGAGGGTCTAGCCAAGGCTGTTAGGTCAGGAAAACTCAAATTACACCAGAAAGGAAGCAGTAAAGCTACCTTTATTCATAAGTGTGTGATCATGTAAAACTCTATTGTTTCTCTATACTGATGAACAGTCAAAAATGGAAAATTGAAAAAGAATGTCATTTATAAATAGCATTTCCCCAAAATGAGTTGCTTAGGGATAAGGTTTAAAACGATATGCAAGAACTATACATCGAATACTGTAAAATGTCATTGAGGTAAATTAAAGAACTAAAGCCGGGAGATTTACTGTACTTGTTGATGAGAAGACTCAGCGTCACTCAGAAGTTAAGTCTCTTCTGATCTATAGCTTCTCCAGGACCATCAAGATCCAAACAGGTTTTTTTTGTTGAAATTGACGAGCTTATTCTAAAATTTATATGGAAATTCAAGGAACCTAGATTAGTCAAGACCATCCTTACCAATAACAAAAGTTAGAGTATTTATTGATCTCAAGACTTAACAAAGCTGCAGTAATTGAGGTGGTGTGATATTGGCATAAAGATAGATAAGCAAATCAGCCAAGTGGAAAAGAAGGTCCATAAATACACCCATATGTAGACAGTGTCGATTTGTTTTCCACAAAGGTGCCAAGAAAGTTTAACAAAGAAAGGATCGTCTTTGCAACACACGGTAATTGTTGGAACAATTGATTAGCCATACGCAAAGGCATGAGCCTTGATGTGAACTCTCAGGGGACTAAAACAGTGAGCCTTTCCAGCCTACAGAATTTGTGGGATGTGCAGAAAAAGGATTCTCATCCACTGCTTGGGAAGCCACTCTGGAAACTACTTGACAGTGTCCTGAAAAGTCACACTCTTGCTTACCCTGTGACCAGGCGTTTCAGTTCTACGCAGATAGAGATTAAAAGGAGTATACAGCCACGTGGGTGCATCTAAAAGAGAGAGGGTGAGAGAAGGCAGACAAAAGAGTATATGCTGGATGTTCTCTTTATATAAACTGCTTTCCAGAAAAGCATACCAGTCCACAGTGGGGAGAGCAGATAGACCAGTGGCTGCTGGCTAAGAGTGAAGTCTCACGAGAGCCCAGGGAAGCATCGTGGGTGACTATGTGTTTGCTCTCTTGGCTCTGCTGAGGTTCCAGTGTACAAGGGCACTGGACTATGAGTACAGATAGTAATTTTGTCCCTGGACTTGAACTCTGGCAATCTATTGTTACCAGAGAGCGTCCATTTCAGTTGAGATTCTCTTAAGCGTGTGCCTAAATATCAATAATATGAACAGAAAAGTTGTAAACACTTAGGGGATAGAAGCCTCTTACTTCCTTTCACTTAGGTTTTGTTTGTTATCTTGGTTGTTTTCTTCCAGGAAGAGGAAATAACTAAGGAGGAAATTGACATCCTCAGTGACGCCTGCTCTAAGTTAAAGGAACAGAAGCAGTCCCTCACCAAGGAGAAGGAGGAGCTCGAGCTGCTGAAGGAGGACGTCCAAGACTATAGTGAGGTGGGCGAGGGCTGCGGGAGGGAAGTCCACCAGCTCGGGTACCCTTCTGTCCACAGCACATGCCTCCCTCAGGAGGCAGGCTCCTCTCTCAGCTGCTCAGTGGGACATACAGTCTCAGGGCCTAGCAACCTGAGTGGGTGGATTTGCTCCTGAAACTTAGACTGCAAAAAGATAGAAGAAATAGCCTTATTGCTACCAAAAGTATTTAATTGATACTTCCAGCAAATATTTGATAAGCTGGCCAAAGAGTATTTGAAGAGAAAAGCAAATTAGAAATAAATTCTATTCTTTTCTATTTTTTGGAGAGGTTTTTGCTATAGGGTGCGTATGCTGGCCAGAAAGGCAGAGACAGAGAGACAAAAAGAGAGAAATCACCCCCTGGGGGGGGGTGGCCACACCGCAATCCCTTCTCCTCCATTCTCCTCTGGGGATCTTGGGCATGCACGCACACGCGCTTGGCATAAGTTTAAGCCACCACCGCGGTCGACTACATGGGAGTCCAGCGTCATAGCCATTACACCAACTGCTGGTTCCAGAAATAAATTTTATATCTATCACATTTCCATAGCCATTCTGGCTGGGCCACTTTCCTCCTAGAGTGTAACCATGTGCCCTTGCAGATGACATACAGATACCTTTTAGTTTCTAAATATCTGAAGGTATCATGTGAATAGTTTGACCACTTAATAAATGCAATCTTTTTTCTTTTTCTTTTTCTTTTTTTTTTTTTAAGGGGTGCATATGCTTGCAAGAGAGAGACAGTGAAAGGGAAAGTGAGAAATCACCCTCCACAGGGATGGCCACACCACTATCCCTTCTCTTCTACTCTTTTCCTGGGATTTTGGGCATGTGCATATACATGGCCATGTGGGAGTCCAGCATGGACTCAGCACCCTAACCACTACAGCACCTACTGGCTCCTAAAATCTTATTTTCATTCATGATTCCCCAAAAGATACTTTCTATTCTTACGTGATACTTTTTTTTAAACTTGATTTATTTTTTAATTTTTATTTATTTTATTTTGACCAGAGAGGAACAGAGTGAGAGAAAGAGAGCGAGAGAGATGGAATGTGAGAAAGCAAACTGCCAGGTCCAGAACTTGAACCACAGTCAGCCATGTGGAAGTCCAGTGCCCTTAACCACCACACCACCTGCTGGTCCCTCTTTTTTTTTAATTGGCAGACAGCACATGCACTTGCAAGAGAAAGATGGAGAAGGAGAGAGCAACCCCTAATGGGGTGTGGTCACCCTGCAGTCCTGCAGTCCTTTCTCCATCCTGTTGGGACCTTGGAAATGCATACACACATGCCCAGTGCATGCCCCACAGGGGCTGAGACATGGACCACAGTCTGCCATGTGGGATCCAGCTCCCTTTACCACTAGGCCATTGGGGCCAAACCTGTTTTATTTTTATTGCCAGGGTCACATGCAATGTGGGGGGGGGAGAGAGAAAATATAGCCAATGGAGTCTGGTCTAGTCAGGATCCTGGGCATATGCATGCCTGCAGGTCTGGGACTCAAACCATGGTCAGCCATATGGGAGTCTAGTGCTTTAACCACAATGCTACCTGCTAGGCCCTCTCTTCCTTTTTAAACTAACTTATAAATATTACTTCCTAATTTAATTTGAAAAGGCTGTGTTTTCACAGCTCTGTTAGGAAAGATTGTTTAGGATTCCTTCATTCTCTTATGTGTTTATTTAATAAATGTGAAAAACGTCAAGATAGAGAGTAGATTCCAGGCTGGCTCCATAGCAGAGTGGTGATGCTACTCCCTGGCAGCTTGGTTCAGCTCTCTGGCCCCGTCAGCCTGAAGCCTGCTGGGACATGCGTAGGTGTCCAGCATCTGAAGGACTGGAGGAAGGGGATCACAGCACGATCAGACCCCATAGAGGGTACTTACCTTTCTTTCTTCTCTGTCTTGCTCTCACTTAGCTCGTAGTCATTCTATCACAAATAAAGGTGGAGGGATAGCTTCCATTGCTTTTGCTATTAAAATGTTTGAGTTTATAAAAATAAGAACAAATAAAGTTTGCAACTTGGAATTAATGGGTTTAATTACTTTTCCAAGTAAAAATTAATTATAATATCCCCTCCTTTTTCTTTTCTTTGTATGTGCGTGTGTGTAATTTTGCTGTAGGGTATGTGCTCTCATATGAATGGGGGGAGAGCAAGAAAACACCCCCACACAAATGGGGGGAGATGGCCACACCATAATCCTTCTCCATTATCGTCTCAGGATTTTGGACACACACACACATGCTCGGTGTGTTTTTCAAGCAGCTGGGTCCACGACTCAGCTGCGCAGTTGGTCAAGTGGGATCCAGCTGCCTTGCCCACCACTCCACCATTGGCCTACCTTTTTAAATTTTGTTATTTTTATTGCCAAAGGGCACATGTGCTCATGAGAGAGGGAGAGGGAGAAAACCCTCCGCAGTGGACAGTGGGCATGCTGCAGTCCCTTCTCTTCCAGCTCTACACTGTGTCAGGATTTTGAGCATGTACACATGCACTGTTGTGTTTTTCAAGCTGCTAGGACCAGGACTCTGATAGCAGTGAGCCACGTGAGATCTGGCTTCCTTAACCACCAGGCTATAGGGCTGCTCCCTGCTATACACACCTTTTAAAGACAAGATTTTCACAATTAAAAATAATTTTATTAGGACTTACAAGAGATCAAGAAGGAACTTTCAAAAACTGGTGAAGAAAAATTTGTGGAGGAATCTAAGGCCAGCAAGAGACTGACGAAGAGAGTGCAGCAGATGATTGGACAGATCGACGGCCTGATCTCACAGCTGGAGACAGGCCAGAAGGCTGGCACGCTGAGCTCTGCCGAGGGCTCACCTGTGGGGTGAGTGGGGTGCTGAGAACCCGCAGGCTCCTGAGGACCCTCCAGTCAAGGAGGTGGCTGGATGCTTTGTTGGGATCTGGGCTAGGGCCTTTCTGACTCCAGAGGGTGTGTCTCATCCTCTGTGCCTACCGCCTCTCTGCCTCTGCCTATCTCCCCTTCTCGATGCTTGTATGTGGCAAGCTCTGAAGTTGGCCCTGCCCTGCCCTGCCTCTTCCCCTTTTCCTTCAAATTGTCGGGCTCTCTTTTCCTCCTTCCTGACTCCTTCATCCCCAGTTAGTGATAACATCCACACAGTGCAGGGTGGTCTGCCTTCTCTGCACTGGTGGTTCCCAGATTCCTGCAGTGGCCAGCAGGGGGCTGTTACCTTATGATGAAGCAGCCACCACCCAGTAGCAACTGCTGACACCTCGGCTCCTGTGGGCTGCTGCTGTGTCCCTGATTGCCAGAAATCCAGGCATGTGTAGGTAGCCGACAGCACCTCATCTCCTGTTCCGAGGTCTGAGTTCACCCAAGGCGAAGGCAGTGTTCCTCTTAAATTCCCCTTGCCTGCACAGGGCACCTCCACCCTCAATCAGAAGGCAGCACAGCCACCAAGACCACAATGATAGTGTTTCCAAGTGGCCCCATAGTGAGCACAGGCCTGAGGACCACTGCCAGTCACCAATGGCAATGACACCTATAGAGAAGGTTCCCCGAGGGATGGATGTGCACAGAAGAGACCCTAGACCCATTGTTTTTTGTGTTTGTGTCTGAGTTGGCTATAGGTCCCAAATGAAAGGGTAGGCGGGCACTTTGCAGCAAGTGTGGATCCTGTTGTGGGGGCTCAGAGTGGAAGGGCTTCGGTTCACATGGTTACAGCCAGGTCAGGGAGATTGGGTTAAAAGTGTGGTGGTGAGGCCCTGTGTGGCAGGATGCTTGGCCGTGGCCACATGCAGGCTGTATCCCCAGGGAGAACGTCATCAGTGTCACAGAGCTCATCAGCGCCATGAAGCAAATCAAGCACATTCCAGAAAACAAGCTAATCAGCTTGGTCTCAGCACTGGATGAAAATAAGGATGGCAAGATCAACATTGATGACCTTGTCAAGGTGGGTCCTGGGAACGGAGGTGGGTGGTGGTCCGTGTCAGCCTGGTGCCCAAGGTGGCTGCACTATAGGAGCCCCAGTGCCCTTTTCCAGGGGGCTCAGGTCAGTAGCTGGAACTGCTCCTCTAAGGCTTGGCTGTCCTCTGAAATTACACTGGAAGTGAGAAATTGTCACGGTTGCCAGCTCGTAACATCATGAGACAACAGAACAGTCCCTGGTGCAGGCTCATTTTGGCTCCTGCCATGTCTCAGTGGAGTGCTTTTTTTTTCCCTTTAATTTGCCAGAGGGCATGTACACACACCAGAAGGAGAAAGCACCCCTCCATGGGAACTGGTCACACTGCAGTCCCTTCCTCCTCCATTTCTCATTATTTTTAGATTTCAGACATTGTGTGTACATATGTCCAGTGTGTTTTTCAAGCCACTGGGTCCAGGACTCAAAGTGCATGGTCATCCATGTGGGATCCACCTCCATGAACTTCCAGGCCACAGGCTGGCCCTAGAGCACTGTGCGCCTCCAGGGCCCTGTGCCCACCCATGTCTCAGCACCGAAGCTACACATTCTCAACAGTGCCCAAAATGTCTCTCTGGAGCAGGCCATCTGCTCCCTTCCCTTCCCCCTTCCCCCTTCCCTTCCCTTCCCTTCCCTTCCCTTCTTTCTTTTGAAGAGAGATTTATGTGATAGGGTGCATGTGCTCACCAGAGAGAAAATGACAGAAAGTGAGAAATCACCTCCCAGGGGGATGGCCATGCAGCAGTCACGTCTCCATTTTCCTCTTGGGATTTTGGGCACGCACAAGTTTTAAGCTATCTGGTCTGGGACTCAAAAGCACAGTCGACATGGGAGTCTAGGGATGTAACCATTATGCCATCTGGTCCCAGGCCACCTGCTTTCTGACCAGACATTTGACAGTCCTAGTACCGGCATGACTGTGGGCCTGGGAAGCCTACCGGCCATACTCAAGGCTAGAACACCCTTTGCCCCACCACAACAGCAAGCTTAGAGGCACAGAGGCCAGGGTAGGCCCAGGGGCCACACATACCAGCTGGGCGCTCCCCTTGGGGTCCTGAGAGGAGAAACTGCTTTCATGGCTCCCACTGTATCTGACAAATATGTGACTTTCTAGACAGTCACCAAAAGAACTGGCCAGTTTACTTTAGTTCAGTCTAAAAGCAAGGTGTTGCCAGATATGTATACTAAGCACTTCCCCCTCTTCCCTCCCTAAGTCTGGACAGCAAAGGGGACACAGGCCCTACACATCACCACTCTCTGCCCTGAAAAGTCATGGTCTAGGGAAGCCCCTGGCCTCTAGGGACGTGGCCAGCTGTGCTGATCTGAGCAGGGAGTTGGCCTCGCAGCCCTGTGCTGCACATGGGCACCTGCCGCAGCCCACTCCTTCCTGCAGTTGCAGGCTCCCTGAGAAGCTCACCTGGCATCCGCACTTCCTGTTCTGTGAGCCTCTCCCCGTTGGTCTTAGAGCCAGGCCTGGGACTTCAGATCTTGTTGGCTTCTCTGGGAACATAATACTCCTGAGGATCAGGGAGAGGACCCCGAGAGCCACTGGTGGGTATGCAGTGCTCAGTACCAGTGCCCTCCGAGCCTGGTGGCTGAGGAGATGGCTTGGTGAAGGGGCTGTGTTTCCCAGTGCCGGCCAAGGACAGCAGGAAGTGTAAGGGCCGGAGCCACCTGAGCTTCTCCCCTCCCTGTGTTTTAGGTGATCGAGCTGGTGGATAAGGAAGATGTTCACATCTCCACAAGCCAGGTGGCTGAGATCGTGGCCACTCTGGAGAAAGAGGAGAAGGTGGAGGAGAAGGAGAAGGCCAAGGGAAAGGCTGAGAAGGAGGCTGCAGAAGTGAAGAACTAGGGTTCTGTGGCTCTCAGGCCAGCAGTCCCCTGCGAGCCTCTGCCTCCAGCCTGCCACACCAGTGCCATGGAATGGCCGAAACGGTGATTGCTCTGAGAAGATTCTTAATGGCAGATCTAATATTTTGTCTGGACTAAATCAGAAACTTCATAATCAAGTAATTTTTATTTTCATCATTCCACAAAGATTTAATCAGTCTGGAACCCCTCTAGGGTAGTGTGGGTTCACACTGCGCGGTGACACTCAGTGGTCCAGCTGTGAGGCGGGGGTGCAGCCAGACACAGGTGCCCGGCTCCAGGGGTGCCTCCCTGCGCATTCCCTCTCCCTTTCCTCTGGCCAGCGCGGCTCTGTCCCCTCAGAGATCAGGCCTGCTGGATGCCCGACGCCTGCATGGAGCTGTGCAGATGTGCCTGCCCCTTGGCACCAGGATAGGAATAGACGAGCACAAACACAGCCTCCTCAGCGCTGAAGACGCTCCAGTCTGGACTTAGACGCCTCGTATCGGTGTAAATAGATCTGTTCCTATACATTTTCAAAGTCATGTCTGTGTAACCGTTGAGACAAAAGTGTCCATCATCTCTCAGTGGCCTCTGGGAAACGACATCTCTCCCTGACAGGAACGCCAATATCTCATGTGAATCTCCTATTATGTATTTATTGGAACTCTTCTTTGATTTACTTTTGATTCCCACCTAATTCTTTAACCAATTGACTAGAACAGAATTTTCACACAGGACAGTCTGCCTGCCTCGTGAGTAATAGCTAATGTAAACTGCCATGAGATAGTCATAGGTGATGTACACTCTCCTGCCGAAGCCCTGGGGGGAGCCTGCTGGAGCAGAGGGGCCCTGCACCCGCGGGCCCTCCCTGCCTTCCTAGCATAGCAAGGCTCCGGGTGGAGCATACTTGGGGCTGCACCTGTCCAGTAGATGGGGTGGGACCAGGCCCAGGCAGCACTTTATCTCTGTCCCTTAGCATGTGGCAGGCTGGGGTCCCTCAGCTCTTTTGAAAGAGTCTCGTAGTTGTGCTGCTGGTCTCCACAGAGTGAGGACGTGGACAAGTGGAGTGTGGCGACACCCGCTCACATGCTTAGGGCTTACCTGGAGCCCTCTGGGCCAAGCTGGGCATGGCATCCAGAGCTCATTACTGAGAGCAGCCAGCGGCTCTCAACACTGAGCAGCACAGATGGCATCCTGTGGCCTCACCTCTCAGCCGCGTCACACTCATCCTTTTACAGCTGGGTCGGTTACCCGCAAGAATGTTCCTTCAGGGACTCCAAACACAGGAATTTGGAAGACCTAGGAATAGAGCGCTCATTGTGGCCAGTCAGCCAGGAAGGGAAGCGGCGCTCAGAGGAACGGGACCTTCTCACTTACTTTTTGAAACTTTTTCTTGCTTGGCCCTTAAAGAAACTTGACAAAACAGGATTAAGATGACATATATATTCTCAAATGTGTATCTTTGTAAAAAAAAAAGGGGGGGGGTTCTAAAAGTTTTTTATTTTACTTATTTGAGAAAGAAGTACGTTTTGGGTGCTTAATTAATATTTATGAATTCCCCCACCCTCACATTAGTAGCCTGGTTTTCGGTTGTCAGCGTTACTAAGTTGAGAACAAGCTCTGTGGTTGCCAAGTGGATCTCCGTAGATGATGGATGTCTTCCCTATGAGCAGCACTTTGGCCCAGTCAGCTAAACCCTGGCTCTCACCCTCGTCCTCCTGCTTTTGCTGGACAGTGGACATCCCACCATTGGCTACTGCTGGAGAACATTCGGCTGCCGTAGGCTGGGGCCCCCAGGGCGGGCCCCCTGCCC